GATAGAAGTTTGTGATATTGATTTACGTATAATTTTAGGCGGTACTTCACGCTATATAGATAGTGGCATAACAAGGCCGTCGATTCATTTTTTTCGTTGCAACCCTGTCGTTTGCATATTATTCAGTGGCCTGTATCCATAATTTTTTCCTTACCGAATCAATAAAGTCACGTAAGACCGTGACTGTCTCTTTAGAACCTTCCTCGGCATACGCCGATGAGATCCATCAAGGGCGAGAATGTGATACATGGAGAGATATCGATCTCCATATTTTTATCTTGATCGTTCGAATTTTATTCGATATGTGCTATGTACGTGTACGTATCTCCATTATGCTTTATTGAATCAAGCTCAATGTGTTAAAATTAACTGTACTGCGCACGTTACTACAATTAGCAGCTCAATAGAAATACATATCCATTTTATGATTGCTAAACATTAGTTTCATATCTCGCAATTTATATCTACGTTTTAAGAGAATATTGAAAAATATTGGATCACAATAGAATAAGAGGGTACAATTTCGCACTGAAAGAAAAATTTTTAGTATTCGTAATTATAATTATAATATAACATGTTACTATAATTATGATTATTACTGTATAATATTAATAATAATAATTATGTATGTATAATTCTATTTACAAATATATAATATATATGTAGCTGGCAATTGAAAATGACTGTAATTAATATTATTATTACTATATAAATATAATTGAAATTACCATAAAAACGGACTTATTATAATTTATAGTAATTATAATCATTTTTATGATAATAATACCCATCACAGTCATTTTTTATTGCCAACTATATATATAGAACTATATACATATATAGTATTAATATTGTAGCAATAATCATAATTATAGTAACATGTAATTACAGTTACAAATACAAAAATTTTTTTCTCAGTGTTAACACAGTAAATTTTTGAAATAAAATAATCCAATTTTTGAGGTTCAGATTGGTAATCCTGATCTCATTGTGAGGGTATTAAAAAAATCAAACAGGAAAAAATCGAATTTGACCTTTGCTAAAATCTTTGCTAAAATTGGATTTAAATTTTATTTTGTTCACAATTGTCCCATTGTTCAAAATTATATCACCTATCTATTTTATTGTCTCGCATTGTTATCGCAGTTTGTATAATTTCGAATCAATTATACCATATGTATATAGCGTTTTAAAGTGTGCAACATAAAGGATTATACATAGATAAGCGATACATTCAAAATTGAAATTATCTGTTGGTGTCAGCTGGGCATCATTAATATCAGCAGGTATAATTTGCAAAACAATCGTGGGATTCAGACTACACATCGTTTGTGGTGCTTCCCGTTGACTGGATTCCACTGAATGCAATATACACTTATTCGTGAACGCCACGACATTCGCAAACAAAAATTCCCCACAATTGTTTGTCAGAGCAAGGTGGCTCACGCGCGGACACGCTTGTTTATCATCGACATGGATCGATTTACGCGATTCGAACGTACCTACATATCCCGTCGATTCGTGCTTCGCTCGTTTGTTTGTTCGTTAAAGTGCAGCCGCGCACGATTTTTGCAACGTTACATTTTGTGGCACAATGGTACCTTGACGGTGACAAAAAACTGAATTTAAAAAAGAGGAACGTTTCAAATCCATTTTTTTCCAATTCCAATAGTTAACATTGGATTGACATGGATTTTTTAAAAATTTCTCTTGACTGTTCCAGTAATAATTTAAATCATTTTCCACGTGTTACATCTTCGAAATTTTCTACTCCAGATAAATGATGAGAACATCGTTACGTAGCGTGTTTTGTGTCTTCATCCGACGAGTCTACCATCAGCCTCCATTTTCCAATAATGTTCGTTTAGCCATGCTGTACCTGTGACGCGAGATGTACAGCAGCCACCAAACCTTCGTTGTCGGAAACAAGATCGTAAAATGCAAATTGCTCGACGATGCGCCGCATCAGGCCGGGCGTGATTGGCCTGAGTAAGCCTCGTAACTCACAATCCTCGTGAGAGTCAATACACGAACTCAAGATGCGTTTCAACTATCGTGAATTCGAGAACGAAGTGCGTAAATAATTTTTATTCGCTACCTCGGTTACGATCGCAAAAAATTGCATTTCGTGGAAGATCTTCCAAGATCTACGGAGTTATATTAGATTTAGGAATCGTCATTTATTAAAAAATACATAATGATGCAAAAACTGGTTTGCAAATAATGTACGTGATTTAATTAATACACGAAAAAAAAACGAATTCTTTAAAAATAATCGTTACTTAAAAGGAAAAAGTAAATTGAGTAATCACTTTTCTTATAGATAATAATAGAATGATATATTTTTTTGTGTTTTACATAATTATTTTGATGGTTCAGCATAATTATCTTTAGATTTGTAGCTAGCTAAATTTTTAGATATTTCATTTTAGATATAAAATCATCCTTTGCGTTTCATATACATATTTGAATACATGTATTGAGCAAGTAACGATTACAAATTTTATTTTCGTGTATTCTAAGTAGTATCATTTTTACAATACTATAACTTATTTATTTTAACGTTGCTAAAACGTTTATCCGTTATGACAATTAAATCTTCGTGGATCATCAATTTGTACAATTATTTTCGACGGAAAGTCACGGTCAGAGTATAAATAAAATGTATTGCTAAGAAATCCAAACAATCAACTCAATGTTAATTGGTCTCGGTCGTTGGGAAATATTTGTGATGGACGATGTGCGTTTTCATACCACGCTTCAAATGTAGAAAACGATGCTGTATGGTACGATACCGCGGACCCTTTGTGTTTCGATAGTATCCCCGCTGAAGTGGGCGCAAAGTGGGACAGGAAAACGAGAAGGCGGGTGGCTGGTTGTTAGGTAGGTAGGTGGAGAACACAAAAAGCAAAGCAGAACCCATGGTAAGCGAAGCGTTCGATAAAGAACGAAACAAGTCGCGATCCACCCGGAAACTCGTCCCTTTTTGCCAGACGCGAAGGTACTTGAGCGAAATTGAAATAATCGGAAATCGACGGAAGGCTTGTGCCATTGTTTTCTCGGTTATGTCCTGAGAAGGGAGGAAAAGAGAGAGAAAGAAAGAGATCGAAAGAGCGGAGTAAACCCGACTGATGTAAAAGAGCAATTGTTCGCTTTTTTTTTTACTTTTTTTTTTATTACTTTCATTAAACTGTCCCGCGAAATTGATATCCGTAAGGTGCATACACAAAACAAATTAGTTGTGCCCTTCGACACGTTTGATTTTATTTAACCACATTGTCGTGCTCCTCCGCGTTCTGCTTTCTCTCTTTCTCTTTCTCTTTCTCTCTTGACAATTGACGCGCATGTAAAGCTCTCTTTGCGGGTCGACGAGATTAAACGCGAGAATTGTTCGCACGCTATTTAAACGTGTATTGTACGTGGCCGTTATATTAGTTACGATACACGATATGGCAGCTAAAATTATTTTATTGTGGATATTTAGCTCACCGATCGATACGCCAATCGTGTGAAACATTGTAATGCTTATTAGAAAGCGACAAATCAACGTTAAGTTGCATAATGAGAGCATTATCGGATAATAAATTATCGATCGTTACTAGAGCGTTAAATTCGTCGACCGCGAAGAATCTTGCAGTTTCTAACTTCTGAAATAACGCTAATGCCAAATGTATAATAATAAATGGCATCTTCTTGTTCTGAAAATAAAGAGTTTCTGAGTTTCAATCTGAAAATATATGTGACGTGCAAAATATGTTTGATGTACATTTATCATTCGAATAACGTTTATGGAAAAACTATTTTTATTTCAAGCTTCTCGTTCAATTTATCATATCTTGTTCACAATTTGTCATATACTGAAAAAGGTTTTCTTTATTTTGAAAGTTAGAAATTGTAAAAGAGAAAATCTCTTTGGAAAGAGATTTTCATATATTATTGTATATATGTTTTAATGTTAAGATAAAAAATATTCCTTGAATTTGGACGTATTTCGAAATGTTAGAGTTAAATATATAATTGATACGTGAATTTGATGATAATTTGCAAAATATGCGTTTCGCAATTGTCACAAATTCTTAAATTATTTTCTAAATTGATTAATTTTATACATACTTAATTCCAAATTTACGTATCAAAAGTTAAAATTGAATAGCAAAAAAAATCTGAATTCAAGTGAAAATTTGTAGCGTTTGCACGTTTTAAATATCTATCGCGTGTACATATGCATATGTACATACAATATACGATGTATACGATTTGTATGATCAATATAGCGCGAAACAAAGATCATAATTCACACAAACTCGATATACAAACATAATTGAAACGGGTTGCATTGAAGAAAATCAATTAGGGGAAAATAACGTGCAACCGTCTACATAATTTTTAATCATTTATTAAATATTACTCATAATTCGCTTGTTCGATGCAGGAATATGTATGATTGTCGTATTTTGAATCGAAATCACAATTTCTCAATGAACAAAGTCAGCCGCAGAGTTGTAAATTGCACCCTGCAAATCGGATTCTGCATCGAACAATGCATATTTGATTACAGGATCCGTGCGCGCGGCCCCGTGAAATTGTCAAAGTTTCTCACATTTTATTCGACTCAGACGCATTTTCTATGATGATTACATCGCTTTTATGCGACCACATTTGTTCCATTAATACTTCAGATAATTATCATTACACGTTCGTGAATATTTTAGTGGAAGCTCTCTCTTCCATTATTTTATTGCTGATAATTAACTTTAATCAAGTAGTCAGGTGTTATATTTGGACCCTTTGAATTTAATTAGTCTCACTGATAAATATCAACTTCCTGAAATCTTTTCGTGTTTTACTTCAACTTTTTTTTTTAAGGAGAGTTTTTTAAGATTTTCTGCGATAAAAAAATGGCCACGTGCGGATCCTGAAGATGGGTGATGTTAGTTGGACATCTTTTTCGGAAAAAAGTTTCGGGGTTGTTTTAATATCTGCTTTTTTTAACTCGACAGGTGAACAACGCAACAGCGAGGGTACAGACGAAAAAACCGCCGACGGTTTCGAACGGTAAGTGGGCTGAAACTTTCTTATCACTTTTATCTCCCCTAACTTTCGTCCCTCGAGCTTTCTCCCGAGCTGCTAATACTGAACGCCTCAAGCTACGACAGAGTTCCATTAGAGCTTAAACATCGTACGTAGAGTGTTCCGCATCATATTATCGTATCGCATATTAGCGAAAATATCGTTGAAAATTTCGTTGAAAATATTTTATGAGAAATTTGTAAATCTGGGCAGATAATTTTTGATTAGAATTTCAAATTATTTTGCCTGCAGTCACTATTAAATTTAATTATTAGACTTTAATAATTAGAATAATATTGCTCGGACAAAGGTCATCCTTTTTTTAACGTTAGATTATATTCAGATTATTGATATGAATTATGCTTGCGGGTATTTGATGCGTGAAATTGAAGTTTTACGGAATATAGTAGAAACTCGAACGATAGAAAAATACCACCGTGCTTTTGAAAGCGGTTCGTGAAATGGCCGATCGCGCGTATTGCTCGCACGGGAACAGCGGTCTATCGCATGAAATAATAAAAAAATATAGCTCGTATATCATTTCTGTCACACACGATCTATGCTGTACAAACGCCGAGCGTATTTTCCCGGAGAATATTGCGCGGGAAATATATACATTTTCCGCGTTCGGCAACTTCGTTGATGTAAAGATGCAAAAGTCTTTCCTTATTGCAGAACAAGACGAAGAAAAATTTTACAGGGCGTTTTAAATTTCGCGATTCTCTTTTGCGCTTCTCTTCTGCCATGCATTGCAATGGGAAATTTGCTCGATCCAGGCGGACAAAAATATTCTACATGGTTACACACATATACATAGTTGCACACTTATGTTCTATGTTGTATGTATGTTTCAAGAATATTTGGTTTAGCTACGTGAATCTAAAATTCAAATTCGATATTGGAAAAATGTATGTACATATTTACATAGAAAATCTTGAGCGTAAAGAAAGTAAGTTATTTTTCACAATGTTTCATATCGGTTCGAATTTATAATAGAAATTTAAGTAAAATTAGCTACACTTACAAAATTATAGAGTTCACGTTGACTGTTTAATAGAAGTATCGTGTAAAATATTTTTGTTCGGTTAAATTAGCCAAATTTCGTTCTGTGCTCACGTCCATTACGAATCCACGACACGTAATGCTAGAGAGTTTTAAACTAAATCTAACCTCGGTCCGGTCGTACCGATTTAAATTGTGGCTTAATCCGGATTATCTGACGGACCACCAGCTGTGAAGAGAACACGTTGCAAATATGTGGTATTACGTAACCGGCTACTGCTCAAATAGGCTCTTTGCTGATTACACTATGAAGTCCTTCAGTCTGCCAGATATCTCTAGGTCACAGTTAATGCCCGAAAGCTGCGCAGAATTCTCCATAAACTATGTACGGAATATTTGGAAAATTACGAGTTTTACAGAGTTACACACAATTATTAGTTAACAAAAACAATTGTCAAGTATACTAGGTTTCTCTTTTAAAACAATTAAAATATGACTATATTATGGCATTTGTTTATGACAGACTAAAGTTTACATCTATCAATTAAAGTAATATTGTAATGCAATAAAAGAGAGGTAATATCAGAAAATTAGAAAATATATAAAACATCGATAATAACAATAACATTGATATTAAGTCTTTAAGTCTTTTGTTAGCATAAATAGGTGGCTTAATTTTGTTACCTTTGTCCGTAACTCTTCGATGTATGAATCTTCTTTAAGAGGATTACCCGAGATTTACGTTGATCTCTATCACGGGTCGAGTAGTACGATTTCGATGTTATAAATAATCGGCACTTAAAACAGTAATAACGATCGAACGTGCATTGCCAAGTGTTTCCTAACGTCAATATAATTCTGGTTAGTAGTTTCTCGAGCCCACAAAGGACGTCGAGTGACGTCGACATTGATCGGCATCTCCAATTATAACCGTAACATAATTTCGGTCAAACGCGAACAAGGCTCTCAAACGACAAACTATCTACTTTGCAGCTTTATTTGTTTTTTTCATTCGTTCCTTTTAATTCAATTTTATTTATCTCTTATCGAATTTGTACGTAAATGTGATTCGTACATAATGTCAGCTTTACAGCTGACATTTTATTTAGATTCTTGCTTAAATTTTCCAAATAGATGTCTCAATTATTTAGGATTAAAGGCCGCCGTTATTTCTTATAATTAAATTAATCTCTTTAACAAATCCGATTAAAAATTTATTTAAAATTAATATTACGGAAATTACTCGCGCCATGTCGGATTATCCGATGTAACGTTAAATTTAAAGTCACTCGTCCGTGTTTGACATCGTAGCTGCAATGCGTTCGCCCCGGTTTAATTGCGATCAAATCAACAGGACTTCGTGTCCAGCGACTGAATTGATTCTCGCCCACGTCGAGGCAACGTCCTATTGAGTGACGGCTTGTGTGTGCAAGGTTTAACTCTGTGCCCACGCACGCGACATGCAATTATTGGAATGCTAAGGCTCGCGCCCTCCGGGTGTGCTCTGAGAGACGTTAAGATCAATTCGGGCCATTTGGCGCGTACAGGTGCACGCGTGTGGCCACGACGCCTCTAATAACCGATTCGACAACTGTCGATTTTCGATCAAGTGGAATGGCCGAGACACCTCGCACCTCACGATAGTCCCCTCGTGTTCGACAACATCATCGCAACAACAGTCGGTGTCGCAGCGTTAACAAATCAAAGTGGTATCTTGACATTTTTCGATATTTGTATCGGATTTTTAATAGATGAAAAGGTTTACTTCGTTGAAAACGAAGTTTTCAATTACGAGGTATCGTGATTAAACTCGGAAAGAACTGAGAAGTCACTAAACGTGATGAGAAATGTTAATCGCTGTGAAAGACTGCAAGAATCTTTCTTATTTCTCATACTACGTCTAGAAAGTCTGAGACGTGAGATAAATGATAAAGACGAGATTTAAGTTGTATTTCATTAACTTTTTTTACCGCGCGGTTTTTGATGTTAATAATGTTAGAAGGGAAATAAAATTTTTTTCTTTTTTTTTTAATCGATACGATCGTAAACGAATTGATTTGGAGCAACTAAATTTTTTATCGTGCTATTTTCGTTTTTGTACAAAAGAAACGGAAATTAGCGTAGCATATATGACCCCAGACGTGTAACTCAATATAAACCCACGTAATTTAGTCTATTTTACACGCGATATGATTTATATAACATATCGCATTAATTGTCTGGGTTTATAATAAGCGTTTAAAAATAGCCGACACATTGCGATATTATTACAGTCTACAATTACACAGTTAAATGCGTGTATCGGTCGCGAATCGACCCAATTGTAAAAGTGGCACGTGTCTAATTATAGAGAAATTTATTTGACGGCAAATATATATATATATATATATAGATGCTGTAATCCGCCTCATTATAGAGTCATTAATCTTTGCTCTAGTATCTTGTACCTTCGAAAATAAGTCATTATTTCTGTCTCACTACATGGAAAATGACGGTTCTGCTGAGGTATCTAAAAATTTAGCTAGATACATGTTTGAAAATAATTTTGTTGCATTATCAGAATAATTACGTAGAAATCTGAAGCATAATGAGATGCGCAATGCTGCAAAAAGTTTTCGCAAGTGCAAAATCTCAAATTTATTTCTCTTCCGGCCATGTGGGCTCTTGTTCTCATACTTCAAGCGTAATACGCCACGTGTGTAAATAACGTTGAAAAGAACCCAGGCAAGTTTCGCCGCGCCACCGACCCGCTTTTCCACTGCTAGTATATGTTTTTCCTCCCTTATATATATCTTGGATCGACAGGATTTACAGAAGCAATGTCATAAAAATTGCATACTTGCCCCCGTTCCACTTTCTCTCAAGCAACGATGCCTCGAGTCTTTCAATCCTCTTAACTCGATACCAAATTTATGTGTTCGACAATTTTAATGCCTGACTGAAATAACTTCTCTCTGCAACTGGATTAATCCCAGCAAAAATTTAATTTTACGTAACTTTTATTATTTTTCAAAAATATATTTTATTTCAAATTAATTTTAATATTATATATAAAATGCCTGTCTTTCTGATGTGCGCTGCATTATGGGGTCATATTTGAAACTTATATATGATTGAAATGCAAATTTTATGTGTTTGACAATTTTAATGTCCACCTGATATAATTCAATGTGATCGTGATATTTGCTGGCTAGAATGAAAATTCTACTGTCTTTCTTTTACGATAAAGAATAATGAACGGCAAAGATAGAATGACACAAAAGCGTTGATTATTTTGTTATATTACGGCTTTACATTTGCAAGAACCTCTTGCAACATCGCTCATTATGTTTGAGATTCCTACGTAATTATTTTTTTGCTAATTCAACAAAATTAATTTCAAACCTGCGTCTATCCTTTTCGTTTGTTAGACGTAAAAACAAGGCTAGACGACGATTTTCACTCCAGCTAATTAGAAAATGTCACAATGATCACGCGACGCTTGGCACATCTCTCTCTATTATACTATAGAATCTCTAGTAGTGCTTTGCGTTTTAAACACCACTTTAGCGTATCTCTACTACAGAAAGTAACATTTTTGCTTTTTGCAGTAGCATAATCATAACGGCAACAGAACCTGACGAGACAATGCGAATATTTAGGATTACGTCTGACATTTTCACCCTGTGCTTTATCTTCGCTCCGCCGCTGTTTGGTAGCAGCTCGCGTTTCACGGCGTTTCCGCTCGTCGCTTTCGTGAGAACACTCGGTACCGTGGTACGTGATGTCCATAATTTACGCAAAGTCTCGCTGCTCATTAATTGTCGCGTAAATAACGCCCCGCCGCACGGCATACATTTGCTCGCGTTCGCGTGGCGCGCACCCTCCATTCTCTCTCTCTCTCTCTCTCTTTCTCTCTCTCTCTGCCCTCAAATCGTGTTACGCGCTTCTCTTTTTTTCCAAGCGAATCGTACTTCTATCGCCTTCTATTCCCTTCTTGCGCG